TGCCTCCCTTTGTCCAGATGGCTGGCCGGCTCTGCTCTCCTGACAGGGCTGCCTGACTTGCTGTTGGAGGCCCTCTTTTGTTGCGCCTCTTCCTGGGCCTTCCCAAGGTCTTTGTCCTCCCTTTTCACCCCTCCGCCCCTCTGTGTGCCGACTCAGACGGCCGTGAGGCCGGTGGGGGTGGGGCGGGGGAGAATGGGGGGTTGGGAAACCGTGACCTCTGGGAGCGCATTGGGGCAGAATGTGCCGCCCCTTCTCCACAGCCACCCTCCCTTCATCCTCTGCCCTGCCCCCAGTCCTAGCTGTGACCTTGGTCATCCTTCTAACCTTGAATTTGGGGTCTCTAGACTACGTATCTGCCAGCTGGCCTTGTAGCCAAATGTGCAGCCTGACACATGTGCAGTGTGTGTGTGCGCGCTTGCTTTCCTGTGATTCCCATTCTGTCTCATGGTGGCAGCACTGCGCTCCTTGCACTGTTCTTATTTTGTTATTATAGACTTTAGACCGTCCTAAGCCTGCCTGATGGGTTTGAACAGGCCCCAAACCTCGAACTGCACAGCAGCTTGGCCCTGAGCTCCTCCACGCATTTGACTCAGTTCTGGTGAAGGTAGCAGAAGCTGCCTCTGCAGTGCGGCCTCTGCAGTGCGGCCTCTGCAGTGCGGCCTCTGCAGTGCGGCCTCTGCAGTGCGGGCCCCGCTGCCTTGGAGGCGTGTCTCCGTGGGGGCCTGAAGCCCCCATGCCACCTGTGTGTCACCTTTCACATCCCGACAGTTTCACTGGCTGTTCTCGCTGTTTAATCAGCACAGTTTCTGTCAGCATCTGTTCAGAATGAATCTCAGCATTTAAAACGTAGAAAATACTAAAAGTGGGAAATGTTACTGCTGGTGATCCTCACTCTCATCAGTAATCCTGGGCGGGGCCGGGGGGGGAGGGGGGTGCGTGGTGTCTAGTCATGAGCATGGCAGCAGGTCAGGTGACCGTCAGCATAACCTGTAGCCCAGCTATAAATCTCCTCATCACCTCCCGATGTGTGCTCCCCGCCCGCCATGACATCACAGCTGGGTCAGCCCCCCCCCCAAGCCTGCATCTTGTCTTTCTTTTTGCCCTGAATGCGTGTTGTGGGGTTTGCATGGGCTTCAGTCTGTCTGCGCTCAAGGCCGGGTGATGCATGATGGGAGTTTTCCTACTGAGCATGCTCAGCTGAGGGCCAGACTGGGGATGCTGTGGCGGGGGCCAGTGCAGAAGCAGCTTCTTGTTAAAATATTAAAGAGCCCCCCCCCAGTGGACAGTGAGGTCCTGAAGTTTCATGCTTCCAGTTTCCTTTTTTCACCACTGATTTCTGCCCCCTCCTCAGGCACACAAGTTCTGTGTAAGGTGTTCAGAGAGACAGCGAACCCTGTAACCAGAGCCACTCGCTGAACCCTGGCGTGGGCAGTCTGCTGAACCCTGGCGTGGGCAGTCTGCTGAACCCTGGCGTGGGCAGTCTGCTAGAATGCCTGTGTGTGGAGTTTCTGCTGCCCTCTGTGGCAGACCTCACGTTGGCCGGCTCTCAATGACCCGCAGTGTTTCAACTCCCTGCTCTTTAACCAAACTGGATCCATGAATTACATGTGTCACTTTAGATTAAAGCATTTGTCGGTCCACTGAATTATAATAACACTTGCCACAGGCATCCCTGCAGTAATGCACAATTTGCTGGGTTATTAATGCCGCTGGCCCCCAGGGATCGCTCTCTGACATGTCTCATATGCTCCCCCGTACCCAGGTCGGCGTGCTTGGAAGGCTGCCTTTTGGTTTGGAGGGCTCCTTCATTACCATGTCGACGACGCCTCCTATGTGGAGGGAGGTGCAGAGAAAGCTGGGCCAGACTAGTGATGTTTAAAATGAAGAGACCGTGCAACTTGGTGGGGAGATGGCAGGACAGGGCGGAGGGTCTGGATTGGGACCTCAGGACAGGGCGGAGGGTCTGGATTGGGACGGCAGGACAGGGCGGAGGGTCTGGATTGGGACCGCAGGACAGGGCGGAGGGTCTGGATTGGGACCGCAGGACAGGGCGGAGGGTCTGGATTGGGACGGCAGGATGGGGAATGGGTTCAGAACAGGGACAGCAGGACAGGGGCACCAGGACGGGCCGTGGGGACAGACAATAATGGGGACAGACAATGTACCCTCGGTCAGACTATTCCTGGACTTATTGAGGTTAAAGGCCTTGCTCAGGGTCCCAACATTGAAACTGAAGTGGTAACTTCCCGATCACAGACACTGCTCCCTAACCTTCTGAACCACACAACCAGAATCGCCAAGATTTCAAAATACCGTGGTATGTCCAACATTCCATTTTATTGTCATGACACCCTGTACCTAATTAGGGGTCTAAGCAGCTTTGTTTTTTCAGTTGGTATTTTAGTACACGCTGCTGGTACTAGTCGGTTACTCCCATTCACCGTCCTCCTTCTCTCTTTTCCTACCTTTTTTCTTGTCTGTCCCCCCCCCCCTTTTAGCTTAGCAGGGCCCTGCAGGCGCGTCCCGGGACAGGGAGCCCAGCATGGGGGTGGACGGCCTGTGACACCGGCCACAGCGTCAGTTTGCCATATTCTGAAGTGAAGGTTTAGTACTGCTAAAGGGTTGATCTTAACCGGTGTCACTGGGCAGAGAGCCCGGAACGGGGGTCTGGCTGTCATCAGCTCGTCCTGGCCTGACTATTCCCGGCATGCGGGAGCAGGTTGCCATCAGGAGGTACCTTCCGTAAGAACGCCCGCTGAGTTGCTGATGGGCAGAGAGAGCGGTTCCTCCTGTGCCACTCACTGCTATTATCTCCACCTGCACCCTGTCTAGCTTTTCCCTGGTGCCTGATCTCCTTGCAGTGCCGTCCCGCCTCCTGCTCTCCCGATGTCCTTGTGCCGTCCCGCCTCCCGCTCTCCTTGTGGTGCCATCCCGCCTCCTGCTCTCCCGCTCTCCTAGTGGTGCCGTCCCGCCTCCTGCTCTCCCGATGGCCTTGTGCCGTCCCGCCTCCTGCTCTCCCGCTCTCCTTGTGGTGCCGTCCCGCCTCCTGCTCTCCCGATGTCCTTGTGGTGCCGTCCCGCCTCCTGCTCTCCCGCTCTCCTTGTGGTGCCGTCCCGCCTCCCTCTGTCCCGCTCTCCTGCGGTTATCCATCCTCTGCTGTACTGCAGGACCATCCAAGTGCTGCTCGTTCATTACAGGAATGTGAGCCCTCTGCTTCTGCTCCTCCCCCGTCGTTCCCTTGGTGCTCATTCTACGCCATCTAGTCTCACCCCATCAAAGAGCCTTTTATTGTTGATTCACCAGTTAGTTTGCCATAATAGTAATATTTTTTGGGGAAGGGGTGCAGACCTGGGGCTGGACTGTTTGTGATGTGAATCAGCCTATTCGTCCAGCTTGTAGAATTTTCACATATTTGTGGGAGGGGGGTACAGATTACAGTGGCCTGAGGCATGCCTGTTTTCTCTTTGCTCTTTCTGTCTTGTTTTTGTTTTACATGCTGTTACTCAGCATGGCTTGTAGAGCATCACCACATCAGGCATGGATGCTGATCGCTTGACCACTTCTCTACTCCGAGCCAAGTCCTCCACACGTGTGACCTCAGTAGTATCTGTCGCCGAGGCTTCCCTGCCTGGGATGCTGCTGCAAGGCCCCTTGAAGGCTTATTTTAAGAGTTGCACGCTGAGAGCGCAGAGAGTTGTGACTCATCAGCCAAGGAGTTTCAAGGACAGTAGCAGTGTGTAATGAAAGTATGGGGAAATCACATAGGGGCCCTGAAGTGGGGAGGGGGGTTGAAAGCATCAGGTTAAAGTTTATTTTCATGTGTATTAACGTGGGTGATGATGGGATGATGGGGTCATTCGTGTACAGAGGATATCCGTCTGACCTGGTCATTCGTGTACAGAGGATATCCACTGTCCTTATGCTGGAGCACTTTCTTAATTAAAAGGAGGAACTGCTTGTTCCTACCTTTGTTTGGTTACTTATGGTTAAGGTGAGGGCTGATTAGGGGTTAAGGTTGTCATTGCTGGAATTAGAGTTTTGTCCATAAATATGAATGGATGGTCCCTACAAAGATTTAAGTACTGTGTGTGCGTGCGTGCGTGCGTGCGTGCGTGCGTGCGTGCGTGCGTGCGTGCGTGCGTGTGTGTGTGTGTGTGTGTTCTCTGACATGCTGTTTGGGGAGGGAACTGGGTGTCACCAGCCCTATTGGGAGTCCGTTGCATCTTTCCAGCGGAGGTCTCCATTACGCTGTGCTTGCTCACCTTCAATGCTGACAAAAAGATGTCTTCCCTGCGTGACATCACATGGGAAGTGGAAGGCGTGCTATGAGTCATTCTCGCATGTGAACTCCATGGTGTCGGACACGTGTCTCTGTTCTGGTCTCGAGGGTGTGGAGCAGTGGCATAATCCTGGCTGTGACACTAGGGGGCCTCTGTACGGCTGCCGTGTGGTGGTATCTTACGGCCCGCTCTGGGTTATGAGCGAAGTTGTCATTTCTGTATTCCCAGGAAGTGCCCAATGCCAGGAAGCATGTGTACATGTCAGTATTGCCGTCTTTACTCCATGGCCGGCTCTTCACTGAGCATTTCTGTACGGCAGCTGGATGAGTTCTACACCCTTTTCTGTCACCTTCGAAACTCGCTCTTGGTCCAGGTGACGGTGAGGGGCATATGAATCCTGCAGGTATGACTGAGCTTGGCATCCCCCAACCCCCACATATGAAACTCCCTGCTCTGCTGGGAGCTCCTACTCAGAACAGGTAGGACATGGCAGCTAACACAGAGCACAGGTAGCACAGAGCAACTTGCAGTGTAATCCTGTAGCAGAGGTGCTGATAGTGCCCCGCAGTGTCTTCTGTTGGATACAAATGGAGGGATCTTGCCTCCCACCTCCATGATTTTTCATGCCCCTGCTGTAAAACTGCTGTGAATGAGCCTCCACTCCCTTCTTGTCATGTGACAGCCATGTGACTCCTCCCTCACTCCTGCCTCCCCCCCCAGCGATGGCTGAGTTCCATGTGCAACCCCAACCGGTGAGGGCCGAGGAGGCCGGCGTGGCGCGATTCCAGTGCCAAGTCCGTGGGCTGCCGGAACCCCTCATCAGCTGGGAGAAGGATGGCCGGCCAGTGGACACCCAGGGCGGGAGGTATGACCCACCCCCCCGTGGTTTCTCACGTCTGTGTGACACCTGTGGCTGATTGATTAGTCGGGCCTGATGACACGCCCTCTCTCGACCTGACACCACAGGTACACACTGCTGCCTACAGGGGTTCTGCAGATCGGCGGGCTCAGCCTGGACGACAGTGGCGTGTACCACTGCGTGGCTCACAACAGTGCCGGCATCAGGCGCAGTGCAGGGGCCCGGCTCACTGTCACAGGTGGGTCCCCAGCCGGCTCTGCCGAACAGCCTCTGCTTTTAACCGCGACCGTGTCAGCCTGCGTCATCTCCACCCCTCCAGGCTCCAAGGCTTCCGTCTACAAGGAGCCCACGATCGTGGTGGGTCCAGAGAATCTCACGCTCACAGTTCACCAGACAGCCATCTTGGAGTGTGTGGCCACCGGCTACCCACAGCCCATCGTGTCCTGGAGCAGGCTGGGTAAGAGCGCCGCCACTGGTGGGGCTGGAGCTATCGCAGCACGCCTGGACCTTCCCTGACGTTAAGGTGTCCTGCTTGGTCATTTTTGAATTTGAAACTTGAAATGACTCATCGTGGGCAGTGCGAGATGCGGGGAATGGGCGCCTGGTAGCTTCTGCACACGTTTAGGGCCTTTTGTCAGGAGCCATGAGAAGCCCCTGCGGAGCCGCTAATCCCGGAAGGGCAGCCGCCATTGGCCGCTGTGTTCGCCGTGCCCGTCGCCATGGCGGGGGCCCGTGCGGCCTCAGGAATGCAGGCGGTGCGGTTAAACGGTGCCCCCTGCTGGCCTTCTGTGTCGCGCTTAATGGCCCTCAGATGTCGTCTCTGCGGTAACTGGCCGCCGCCGTGGACGCAGGCCGCATAATGCCTGGCCAGACGTAGCCCCCATCAGCGCCGTGGCGCGGCGCCGTCTGCTGGCCGAGGACCCCTTCCTGCTGCACCTGTGTCATGTCAGCTTGTGGGATTTTGATGCTTAAATTCAACCAAGAAAATGGAAAGTAAAAGTTTAGTAACATTTCTTTGGAGAAAAGGGTTGTCTGTTACGCAACTGAGAACGTCTCGTGTCTGCGCTGCTCTCCCGCCAACCGAGACCCCCCCCCCCCCGTGTTTATGACCCTGTCGTGTTAACGGCACAGTATGAAATAGCCTGTGGGATAATGGAGCCCATTAGGCTGGAAGGGGGGGGCGCTAGGCATTTTACTGGGACAGGACTGAGCATGTTGGTGGGGGCGGGGACATGGGGGGGCTTGCCGTGGCCATTTGTCTTCAGATGCCTGAACGTACCGGGGATCCTTTGAAAGGCTCTTTACGACACATATGTCTTTCTGTCCCCGACACAAATAAATGGAGCAGAATAGCCTGAGATTACTGCTGCACGGAAGATGGAGTGCAGAGTTACTGTGTGTGTGTGTGTGTGTGTGTGTGTGTGCATGCGTGTGCCTATCTGTGCATGCGTGTGTATGATGAAGGTGAGGACGCTCAGCTTGGGGTTCGGCTTTTTGTTAACAGCCCATATGTAGCTGCGGAACCTTAGCTGCCTTTACTCTTTAACCTTGAGGGCTAACAGACGGAACAGAAGCACATGTTCATTTTCATGTTCCTGCAGAAATTTTAAACCTTTCCTCTTTCCACCCTCATTGTTTCCTCATTTTGAAGATGTTCATCCCCCCCTATAAGCCCCCCGCCACTGCTATTCAGAAATGATGAATCTGCTTCTGAGTAACGTAGCACATCGCTGGTGTTTTAGCTCATTGCCGAGGCTCCCAGCTCTTCACCATGAAGGGCGCAGGCAGGCAGGGATGTAACATCCATCTGCCTGGATGTAACGTCTGAGCCTGTCCCACCCCCACCACCCCCCGGCCGATGCCCTTGCCCCGATTGGTGGTTCTGGGGTTAAGCCAAGGTCCAATTGGTGATTGATGAGAATTCTGGGCCTCATTTAGAGAGACGACTTCTTATTTCGTTTTCATGTTACCATTCTGAGCTCACAGCAAATGTTTGTTGTCAGAAAATGGCTGTATTTTCCACGTGTTTGTTTAGGTACTACATGCACACACATGCGCACACTCACACACATGCACGCACATACGCACATGCACAAAGGCACGTGCACATACACGCCCGTGCATGCGCACGCACAAACACGTGCAAGCACATGCAGGCCTTCCGCTGTTTGTTTTAGCCGTCTCCCAGACCATGCTTATTCTTCACCGTCACTCTGAGCGCCACTGACTTTCCTGGTCGTCTCGGCCTGCCACGGGGCCCTGGGATACACCGTCTGTCCTCAGCGTCCGTCACCATGGCCACACGCCTCACCTCGACGTGCGTCCTTGCTGCTCCCTCCGCTGATGCGTACTATTTCCCCGCAGTTCGAATCACTGAATCATCACAAACAGACACATTTGAGATTCAGGCCATTTATATTGTTTACTTCTGCAGATGCTGCAAAAAGGGAAATCGAAACAGAAAACAATAGCACGGTATCCGTTAGAAATATCAAGTGAAGAGAGAGATCCGTAAGTATGTAGTTACCGATGTGAAAGTGGCAGAGGGTGGCAGTTGTTGCTTCTGGTGTCTTGGGCACCAGGCCACCCTGGAGTCTGGGTGCTCTAAAGCTCTAGTGCTTTAATGCTCTGGCACAGCCTGGCAGGCGCTCAGAGAGTGAGGTTTGTTCTGTAATCCTTAATTAGGTGGGAAAAAGACCCCCTAATTACCCCCCCGTCTGAACACTCTCCAGGTGAGTAGCTCTCTTGCCCTTAGTGTGTGCTGTGGGGGTGTGTCCCCTGTCCCGGACGGCATCTCAGCCTGCATGTTCCCCAGCTCTCTCCTCCTGTGCCGCTTCGGATGAGATCCAAGCTCTGCGACATGGATGCTGGTCTGGATTATGTGTCGGGTGATTCTCTGCCTTTCTCTTGCCCCAGATGGCCGCCCAATTGGGGTAGAGGGGATCCAGGTGCTGGGCAACGGGAATCTGATGATCTCCGATGTCGGGGTGCAGCATTCGGGAATCTACGTCTGCGCAGCCAACAAGCCCGGGACACGCGTGCGGAGGACTGCGCAGGGCCGGCTGGTAGTGCAAGGTGAGTGAAGGCGTGGGGGTTCGGGCTCAGGGGGCGCTGTGTCCCCGATTGGCTCACGAGGCGGCCGGGCCAGACAGGCTCTCTGTCAAAACAGCTACAAGTAGCTGTCAGTGAGAAAGCGCTGCTGCTGATTGGACAAGGGCAGCCTTGCCCCTCACTTCAGCCTAGCGCAGCTGAGGTCGGTATTTAATTTAATCCCCCGCCCTTCATGGGGGGGGATTGCTTTAGAATCCCACGGTTCAGGATGGCAAAGCGTGCATACATTCAGCATGGCCCACGGCACTCCAGCCTGGCGTCGGGGTATGGGAATGGGGGATTGTAGACCGGCGTGCTGCAGGATGCCAGATGGCAAGCGAGGGACCCTCGGCACACTCCGTGTGGAGGAGGGAGGAGGAGAGACGATTGGCCAGGATGAGGCAAAAAGGGGGGAGGTGCCATCAGACTCAGCATGACATCGCTCGTTAATTAGTGATCCTTCACATCGCATGAAATGGGGACCTTTTCCTAGCTATGTTGTGCTTTAGCATCTTAACATTTAGCATCCAAAGTTTGGAACGTCGGGTGGAAGAGAGAGTCTGAGAGCAAAGGAAGAGAACATGAGTGAGGAAAAAGGAGGAAGGAGAGGGATGGAAGCGCGAGAGAGGACGGAGAGCACCCCTTGACCTCCGGGCCGCGTTCGAGGGCTCTGTGAGATTCAGAGCTCGGAGCAGGAAGGAGAGGAGTGGCAGCCCATTTGAGCGTGGCAGTGACAGATGGAGTGCTGGGGGGTCACGACGCAGGGAGCAAACCAGTATGTGAGAGAGGGGGTGCAGTGGCCTTAAGAAGTGGGCGTGCAGTTGCCGGAGCCCAGTGCGGCCATCCATGCTACAGGCCGGCGAGGCACAGAGAAGGTGTCGTCGTTATGACGATGGTTATCGCCGCACTAATTGAAATGGGGATCGTAAATTTCCATCAGAATGAAAGACTGTCCGCCAGAGCGGCAGCAGAGTATCGGATTACCCAGAGCTCCTCTGGCAGCCAGCTCCCAGCGGCCCGTAACAGAGTGTGGCTCGGACAAAGCCGTGATTCATGCTGAAGTAGGGGACGGCTAATCCCCCCCCAAACATTAACCCGCGTAACCTCTTCCCCCTCCATCTCCACCAAATGTTTACGCTCCACATCCTGAAAGGATTCTCCATCTCTTTCTCTCTCCCTTTTCCCCCTCTAATGGATCCCTCCCTTCCCCCCCGTCTCTCTCTGTTGTGTGAACTTGGTGATGATCAAGGTCTAGTGTTAAAAGTATCATGGTGGATGCCATTTCTGACTTTTGTGGGTCTGTGCGCATTTTATTTTTTAGTTTTATTCTTGTTTATGTTAATAGATTTTAAAAGTCTCTCCCTATCTCTCTCCCACTCTCCCTCTCTCTCTGGTGTGGCCGTGCAATGCCATTAACCCTATTTCTCCACACTTCCTAACACATTAAGTAGATGTCCCTCTCCATATTGCCCCTCTGCACACCCTGCTTACAGTTCCATGGTTATGCATTCCCGCTCTGCTGCCTGCCTGCCTGCGCCCTTAGTGGCAGGTACAGGATAGTCCACAGCACAGGGAACTTTGTCCACTGGCCTGTCAATCGCAGGTCCTGAGCCCAAGAGAGGATTTTTTTTTCCACGTGGGTCATTTAAACCAAAACTGCACAGGCAGGTAGGTAGACAAAAGCCACATGGGATAAAAGTGTGAGCAAGCAAATTGGTGAAAAGAGCAGTAACATTTCAAAAAAGAGTGACATTAGACATGGCATTTTTCAGTTTTGCTTGCATTATGCCTGTGAATTTTCCAACCAGTGAGATGCCCCTTAGCTTGGCTGGGGATCCCTGACTGCAGACCTGTGAATCCAACTATGGCAGTGAGCTCTCTGCCTTTGATTACTGGTTTCCTGAACATTCTGACAGTTCACATGATCAGCTTCTGACACTGATTTGGTGGAAATAGATTGCCGATCCTGGACAGCTGACTGCAAAAAAGAATCTGTAATTCAAGTAAAGTGTGATTGCAGATCCCGGGTGATGGATTTGGACTGGAAGGGCTGAGGGATGCCACTGGCCCATGCGCCCAGCCTGATCCCCTTGTCCTCTGTGCTCCCCCCAGCCCCCGCCAAGTTTGTCCAGCCGCCACAGTCCATTGCCCGGCCTGTGGGCACCACGGCTGTCTTTACCTGCCTGGCCCAGGGCGAGCCCTTGCCCCAGCTCACATGGCTGAAGAACGGGCAGATTCTGGAGCCAGGGGGACACGTCAAACTCAGGAACAACAACAGGTGAGCGCCGGGCTGTTTGTATGGCCTCTTCACAGTCACTCCATCTGCAGTTGCCCAGGGCGGCTCTAGCAGGGCAGGCTTGTGGGGAACCAGCTTGTTAGAAAGGTGTCCGATGGTGTCCAGTGACAGCGCCAGGCGCACTAACCTTCGGTGTGACCCCTCATTCTGCTGCCAGTGTTTGTTGCTAAAAGTTGCTGAAGTGGAGGAAATGGCACTTTGTGTGTGTGTGTGTGTGTGTGTGTGTGTGTGTGTGTGTGCGCGCGTCCGTGTGCGCGTCCGTGTGCGTGTCTGTGTGTGTGTCTGTGTGTGCGTGTGTGTGTGCGCGCGTCCGTGTGCGTGTCTGTGTGTGTGTCTGTGTGTGCGTGTGTGTGTCCGTGTGTGTATGTGTCTGTGTGTGTGTGTGTGCCTCTGTCTCTTTTGCTCTTTCTCTTTCGCTCTCTTTTTGTCTCTGTCTCTTGCTGTCACACTGTTTCTCTGTCTTTCTGTCTCTGTTGCTCTCTCTGTCACTCTCTCTCTCTGTTTCTCTCTCTCTTTCTGTCTCTCACTCTCTCTCTCTCTCTCTCTGCTCTGGTTTCTCAGCTGAAGCTCACTGACCCAGCACCTTATGTGCATGTAAACCTATTTTCCTGGTGAAGGAGGTCAGACATGGGAGTGTTTTCAAGGGCTGTTTTTCATTGATGGAGTGAGGGAATAGACTGATTGTGGGATGCCCTGTGACATCTTTTACAGTAATCCTCATCACGCCTGCCTGTTTTTATCCTGTATTGTTTGCTTGTATTATTATCTGAATTGCTCGTGCTGTAATCCTGTTCACGCATGCCAGAGCACAAAATGGCAACCAGCCAGGAGCGACGTAATGTGTGTATAGTGGTCATGAGGTCTGGGATATTATTGTTTCCCTGGTGTGGATTCAGGGAGCCAATCAGCTGCGGAATAAAGGCAGCCTTGTAATCGCAGGAGGATGGAGCCAAGGCAAAACTGGATATGAGATGATGTTTTCACGGGGACTTCTGGAGAACTAGGATGGAAGGCCTCTATAGGGTCTCTGGTGGACTGCAGTGCAAGGTGGAGTTTCCATGGGAGTCTGGAGAAGTGTGGTGTAAGGTGGAGTCTCCGTGGGGACTCTGGAGGAGTGTGGTGTAAGGTGGAGTCTCCACGGGGACTCTGGAGGAGTGTGGTGTAAGGTGGAGTCTCCACAGAGACTCTGGAGGAGTGTGGTGTAAGGTGGTATCTGTGGGGACAGGGGCAGCCTGGTGGGGAAACTGGGGACAGGGGCAGCCTGGATGAGATAAAATCAGTGAGTGTGCTGGAAGCATTTTGGTCAGTTAAATAGCTGTGTATAATTGCGTAAGAATGTTTTCCTTATGCACAGGTGAATGGAAATGTGATAAGTATTTGTTTTGTAGGTTGATGTTTGTATTCTAAATGTGATGTTTTGATTATGAAGGCCCAGATGAACCAGAGCTGGGGGGGGGGCTTCAGGCTGACAGAGGGGGAGGCAGAGAAGCTGACAGATGGTGGAGGGATGCAGTTTTTAGAGCATGCAGCGGCACGTCAAAGAGACCTGCGAACTGCGCCTCACTGAGCCACCTTACAGCAGCAGTCTCTTTGCATTCTGGTCCCCATAAGGGAAAACTCAATTTAATAAAGATCTGTGACTGCAATGAATAAACTAAAAATGCAGTAACTCAACGTGTGTGTGTGTGTGTGTGTGTGTGTGTGTGTGTGTGTGATGGCAAGAGGAGGCAGTCAGGACCTCATCGATAGATTTCTGCAAATTCAGCACATCTACCAGCATTGACCTTCCAGAGACCGCTCTGGTGTTAGGGCTTGATCAGGTGGATTGATTGTGCCAGTCATATAATCATATGCACACCCATGAGAGCGAAGGCATCATTTACAAATCAGCCTGCATATGTACCCATGTAAACAAGCACACTTTTAGTGCGAGTTTTACCCACAGCCATTATCCACCACAAACACACACAAACACCCACATGCGCACACACACAGATGCAGACACGCACCTACACACACCAGACTAATTTCTTATGGGTTTAGCACCTTTTAAAGTTTCCATAACATCCGCCCTTCCCCCTATGTGCTGCTCCCTTGGAGACACCCTGTAGCCTGTCCGCCCCTCCCCCTGTGTGCTGCTCCCTTGGAGACGCCCTGTAGCCTGTCCGCTCTTCCCCCTGTGTGCTGCTCCCTTGGAGACGCCCTGTAGCCTGTCCGCTCATCCCCCTGTGTGCCGCTCCCTTGGAGACACCCTGTAGCTTGTCCGCCCCTCCCCCTGTGTGCCGCTCCCTTGGAGACACCCTGTAGCCTGTCCGCCCCTCCCCCTGTGTTTCTGAAACCTGGTGGCAGTTATGGTCAGTTTGCGGCTTTCACACCTTCAGCCAACATGGAGACATGCAGCACCTCATTCTGGCTGGAATATGCTGCGGTAGCAGCGGGTCTGAAAGATATGATGGAAGCACATGTGTTAGGGGGGGCTGTATATCAATGGACTCAATCAGTCATTTCTACAGATAAGCGAAGATCTGGTTCCCCTTGTCTGCTTCGCTTTAATATTACTTTTGTTTTGTTTTTGGCGGTATTGGATTGCGTGCATCTCTCTGACGGTGCTTCCTCAGTCAACCCACGATCGAACGAGTCAAACGCTGTCAATGTACAGCGAACATTTAGGGGATGTTTGTCATCTGTCAAGCCGAGACAAACACATGGCTGCCTCCCATCTGCCCATGTAGATGTATTTTTAAGACGTCCTGCTTTTTCTCTAACCCCACCCCCTCACCCTGGCCCCACCCCCTCCAGCACGCTCACCATCTACAGCATTGGCCAGGCGGACGAGGCCATGTACCAGTGCATCGCTGAGAACAGCGCCGGTTCAGACCAGGCTAGTGCGCACCTTGCCGTGCTGTGGGCCGACGGCCTGCCGGGGGCGCCCCGGGGCGTGCAGGCCCAGGCCCTCTCCCCCACGGCCATCCGGGTGTCCTGGAGGGAGCCAAGCCAGGTCACACAGGACATCATCGGCTACGTGCTTCACATCCGCAAGACAGCAGGTCGTGTGAACTCTCCAGCCGTCCTCTTTGGTCCCACCCCGTTCAGCTCGACTCGCTCATGGTTATTTACATTTGTTCATCCGACTAAGACTTTAGTACGAAGCAGAGGGCAAGCGAGCCTGACTGTACATTAGTCGGTCAGGTACGGATACTACTAGGCTGAACCTCCAGTGGGGAGGGGAGGGACAGGCAAGATATCTGTGTGAGGACAGGATTTAAACAGCATTTACAACCAGATTGTAGACCAGTCGTCCAGGAGTCTCTGATTGGATAGAGCACTGATTCAGAGTATAAGACCCATGTCAGGGTTGTTTCTACCGGAAGAGCGAAGGCTCGGCCAACACCTTGAGCTCTTGTGTTCCAGCACTGTCGGCTGGATAATGAACGGCAGTGATTCCCAATCCGGCCTTTGGGGACCCACAGTCGGTACGTGTTTTTGCTCTGTCCAGGCTCCCTGGGAGCTGGGAGGGAGCAAAAACATGCACTGTATGTTGTTAACACTGAAGAACAGCTTTGGGGGCTGAGCAGAAGGAGAGGCTTTAATTATGCCCCCCCTCCCCGGCACCGGGCCAGAGGTGCAGGCAGACAGAGCAGTGGGTCTGAGATGGGGTCAGAGGTCATCCCCTGTCTCATCCCCTGTATATGGATGACGGGAATGATGTCTTTGTGGTTTAACAGTAAGTCCCCCCCCCCCCCCATTTCCCACGCCTTCACGCTCATAGACTCGCTGGACATGGAGTACCAGGAGGCCGTGGGAAAGAGCATGCTGCAGCAGGTGCTCAGCGACCTGCAGCCCTCCACCAGCTACACCTTTTACGTGAAGGCCTACACCTCCCGGGGGGCCAGCAAGCCCTCAGACACGGCCGTGGAGAGCACACTGGGGGAAGGTGAGTCTGCCGGCACTGCCCAGGGTTGCGGGTTCGAATCCCACCTCTGTCTGGGATAGGCTCCAGACCGCCTTTACATCCCTGGCTAGGATGAGTGGTTGGATGTTTGCATGGATGTTGCTCAAACTCTGCTGTGTTCTAAATAAAATGTGAAGAACATCCTCAGCTGTCGAGCGTACAGACCCAGAGAGGGGGCCGGGCGCCTTGTGCCGCACAGTGACTGAAGCCCGGCCCCCCTGGGCTGGCTTTGCCCTTGCAGTGCCGGCGCCCCCATCGCTGCACACGAGGGTGGTGGAAGGGAGCACGGTGCAGGCTGTGTGGGAGCCATCGGGCAAGATGGGCCAACCCCAGGGATTCAAGCTCTTCTACCGCAGGCTGCCCTCGGCCACCTTCACGGGGCCTCTGACTTTCGGCCGCAACATCACACAGTGCAATATCACACAGCTGGGTGAGTGGAGGGGGGGCGGGTGAGGGGAGCCGCCAGAAATAGCGAAGGCCATGCACACCATCACCAACTATCTAATCAAAGCGCAAGCATGTTCTGGCATTCAAATTTCATGGGCAATATTTGCTGTTATTAAAATGAACACAGGGGGCGCTGGACTTGAGTTTGTTTGCGGCCCTGTAAAACAGCCCCTTTTGTCCCCACAGAGCCGGCCTTTGTGTACGAGCTGAAGCTGCTGGCTTTCAACCAGCACGGCGACGGCAACGCCACCATGCGCTTCGTCTCCCTCAAGGAGGCCGTGGAGAAGTCAGGTGACTCCAGGGATCATGTGACCATGCGGCATTCCAGTCTGTTCCACACCTATTTGCTCATCTTTCATGTTTTGTGTGTCCCTAGTGCTAGACCCCCCGTGTGACTGCTTGAAGGACGAGCAGAGCAAGGCTTCCACCACCGGCATCATCGTCGGGATCCATATCGGTGTCACCTGCATCATTTTCTGCGTGCTCTTCCTCATGTTCGGTTACAGGGGGAGGTACAGTGTTTTTTTCACCCCCCTGGGGGTCATATTCACATGTTATTAACTGTTGGCATCATCCCCAGAGCAGTGATATTCAAAAGGAAGCCCAACTGCCAAAAACCGAAGTTCTTATTTATGTATAAAACCATGCATTATTACTATGTGGTTCCTGGCTCTGGTCTGTTTTCCATTGGTGGTTCCTGGTCTGAGATGGATTGAACACCCATGTCCTTCATTTCTGGTGCATTTGACAGCAGCTTTGACTTCACTCCATTCATATAGCACATATATCGCGTTGCAGGTTGATGATGTGCAAGACCATGCAGGAGCAGCTGGCCACGCCCCCAGAGGTTCGCAGTGACGCCCTGGAGCCTCCCACGTACCACGGCAGCCTGTCCCTGAATGGGGCAGTCCCAGAACCCAACGGGGCCATTCCAGACAAGACAGGCATGGACAGTAATGAGCTGGGGAGAGTCTTCCCCAGGGACTCGCTAAATCAGACACACATGGTGAGTGGGGGGTGCATCTGGGGGAATGGACAAAGGGCCTGCTGTTCGTCTTAGGATCGCTCTCGTTTGATCTTCTGTTGGCATTTTTATAGTCCATTGTCATTGTCTTTGTCAATCATCGATAGTATCACCATTTTAATAGCTAGGCACAGTGACGGCACTGCACTGGGTTTTGGTCATCCTCTGTCATCTTTGGTCATCCTTGGTCATCCTCTGTCATCCTTGGCCATCTTTGGTCATCCTTGGTCATCCTCTGTCATCCTTGGCCATCTTTGGTCATCCTCTGTCATCCTTGGCCATCTTTGGTCATCCTTGGTCATCCTCTGTCATCCTTGGCCATCTTTGGTCATCCTTGGTCATCCTCTGTTATCTTTGGTCATCCTCTGTCATCTTTGGTCATCCTTGGTCATCCTCGGTCATCCTTGGTCATCCTCTGTCATCCTCAGTCATCCTTGGTCATCTTTGGTCATCTTGTAGCATGTCCATAATGATTTATCACTAGCCCCATGCCCTTAGATTTGTCCATTAATGGATCCCAGAGAGCCTGCAAGTAGGATCTAGAATGCTGAGTTTGATGGTTTCGCTTGTATACTTTGCCCGTTAGGGGAACAGACCCCTTAATGTGTGCCTGGCATTTAACGCTGTTGTCCCGCATCTCTGTCCTGCCTTCTGGCAAACCCCCACGCCCAAAACCTACCGCTGTCAAAGCTCTGAGATAATGAATCCTAAAGTCTTATAGCATATCCATCTCCCTCAAAAAATGCTCATGTGTTGACCTTTGGCCTTTCCCATCCATCTAAAAGAACCCTCATCAACAGGGTTCTTTAAAGCACCACCTGTTACTAAGGTGACTGTGACGAGCTGCAGGAGATCTCAGGAGCCTCAGACGCTGGTCTTTCTGTACGCTGTGGCATCTGTGTTCACAGATGGCGGGCGCACAAGTGTCACACACTCCGGATGAAACGCAGATCTCTATGCTGCCGTTGGAGGATTTCAGCCTGGCCGAGGAGAGTGAGAGCAAATTCGGAGAGTCCCTGGAGGAGGCCAGTGATCCGTACGGCCAACCGGAAGAGGGGTGACGGGGTCTGTTTGTGACACTGCCACACCAAATGCTGCACCTCTGTTGGGACTGTTCTCAGGTCAACGTACACGTTTTTTCCAGCGTTTTCTTTCACTGTTAGTAAATACTGTTGGATGCAGTTCAGGTTCTTCCCAAAGGCCCCGGTTCTGTGCGTTATGGTGTCCTTTGAGCGCTAGCTAGTGGAAGAAGGTACAGTGGTACCTCGGTTCTCAAACTTTATCCGTTTCGGACTCTGGATCGAATCCTAAAAAGTTCGAGTTCTGATCGAATTTTTCCCATAAGAAATAATGGAAAACCAATTGATTGGTTCCCGGCCCCCCAAAATTACACCTAAATGTTTTTTTGTTTTTTTTAAGCATTTAAACACAAAATGAACAG